TTAGTGATTTCACAGTATGTGACATTAAAATTTTTCCTGCAAATACAATCTGATTGCCTGCAACTATAAAAATCTCAAAAAAATCATAAGAAAAAGGCAGGGCTATAATTACACATGCGGGTGTCATGATCCATGGTCAGCTTATTGAGAAAGAAAAATCAATATCATTTTAATTTGTCATATCTGGTATTACATGTAATACATTACATGTGTGTGCAATTCTTTTGAAAAAAGGAACCTAAAATGTTTGTTTTTTTGAACTTTCAGGATTTTAACCAAGATGAGGATGAGATGTTGAGGCTAGCATTACAGGCCTCCCTAGAACCAGTATAAAGTTTATAGTCTTTATGGGGGAGAGTCAGCAAAACTCGCCATTTATCTGCTTATAAATAAAAGGGGGAAAATTTGTGATGTACTAACTGAAAAAGTAAACCTGAATAGAACCAGACACTATGCATCAGCTTATTTTGATAGGTATATGTACATGTATATCCGAAATAGGAATGTGGGCAAAACTGAAAAAAAAGTTCGTTTTTTTTACACTGCAATTGCTTTTCGACAAGGATGTAGAGGTTTTTGTTCCCCTGTCTTTTTTTTATTTAATTTTAATTTTATTTCATTTTTTACTCTTTAAAATAAAATCATGTCTTTGAGAATTCTTCAATTTTCATGTGCTTTCTTCTGTAAACCATCTCAATATTCAACCTGCTTATTGTGCCACAACAGAATCGTAGAACAATGTGTAAAAATTCTGTTTATCAATGTAAGAGTTTATTATGTATTTGTTAATACTTAAGGTTCATAAACCCTCTGCTCACTCATATAAAATGTTGCTTGAACCTTAATGATTTTCCAAAAGAAATGTATTTTATAAGTAAAATACAAACAATTATAGCATAGCTTGCGGGGCAAAATTGGACAAAAAAGACACTTCAACTTGGCAAATCTATACAGGAATAATAGTCATTTATGTCATTAAGAGTTATCTCTCTTATCAGAATATCAGTGACCCTTAATGTGGAAATAATTTAACCATTTCTTTTAGGTAGTTGTCAAAAACTTCAACATAAAAGTTCCCAGTTATAACATTGTCTTTTGATTGTTAAACTTGCAAAGCAGTTCACAATAATTTTATTATTAATTAAATATACATTTTATAAGTAAATTATTCATTAATAATTATTGCTTGTTGGATGTCTTATGAATTGCTAAGGTTTTCATTAAGTCTTTTATGATTTATAGCTTATTTTCATGTGTCTTTCTGTATGTTCTCATTTTTTTCCCATATTTTTTTTTTTGATGGTCTAATAATGTTCAAATCATGTTTTAAATTAAATTTGATATGCCAATGGGCAGAAAAGTGTGATTCTGTATGTTGTCTACGTATAATGGTATGGGGTCATTTATAAGAAAGACTGGTCAAAGAAAGATACATTTTGAAAAAAAAAATTCTGTTACAAACTTGGTAGAGAAAAAAATTATCAGCATGCTGCAGTAGATCTCATCAAATGAAATATGGAGATAATGAACAGTATTCAAGCTCAGAGTCCATTTAAACTATAAAAACCAGGAACAGCAACACGGACCTCCAAGAACATCAGAGGTAGGATCAGATGGGGTGCAGTGGAAAGTGAGCATCTCCTCCTAACCTGTCACTCACACTGTGTGGTCATTGTCATAATCCGATCAGTGTGTAAATAATACCCTAACAGTTAGTCTGAAAAACGCCAGTCAGTGATAGATTGTATGTGCTGACAAGGTCATTATATCAATCAGAATACTTGCAAAATGATGACTTTAAACAAGACTGTTGACATTGTTGTTTCATCTACTTGCTTGTCAATAATTTACCTCGTTTAAGAAATTGTTCATTTGTAGAGCATGCTCTTGCATAAAGAATCAACTGAGAGACATAAACCCCAGGTGATAAGGGTATGTTGCTACCAAAGGCACTTGTTTCGAAAATGATATCATGGTATAATAATAACCCTATGGGTTAAAAATTTATTTCCCAATTAAATGCCTATGGTTGCTACATAAGTTAGGGACTTTGATGATGTTTATCATAAAGCATTGTTCTAAAATTACCATTAATATCTGCTAAAATTCCAAGACATTAAAAATGAGAATAAAGTAATCGAGTACTAAGTATTTTCTTATTACCTTTTTGTATGTAAATGATATATTAGTAAAAAGTCTATTGAAGTTACTTTGAAAATATAAAATGGAATCCAATGCTAGTATATGACTCGATTTTATTGTCAATTTGTCACTGCTGACAGATTTTGCTTACAGGTGATTGTTCAGTACACATGCGAGAATAAACATTAAAAAATAACACAACAAGAGTTCAACATAATTAATCTAAAATAATGACGATCAGCTCAACGAATGCTGTCTACTCGGAAATAGGTGACAAAATCTCACACCAAATGTGTGCATCCCATGATGCATCCGTCCAAATTTGTTCAGCCAAGTACGTATACACTCTAGTTCAGACTTCTAGACCATTTCAAAATAATCGTTACATTTCAAAACAACATCTTTGAAACACAGGCACCTGATTTACTTATTTTTCTTTTAATGATAAAAAATATACCCCTTCCTAATAAATAAATAATTATTATTAGGTAGGGATATATTTTTTTATTAAAAGAAAAAAAAGTAACGTCAGGTGCCTGTGCTTTGAAACTGCTGGCATCTTCATTTCGGTACATTTTATTGAGTTTCTCAGAATGGAAATTCTAAACCCTTTTTCACACCTATCAGGCACGTAGCAACGGGGGGGGGGGGGCACTTTTTTTCCCAACATTACTTATTCTATAGGAAATGTTCATTGAAAGGTTGGTCCCCCCCCCAACTTTTTGCGATATGAGGATTGAGGAAAATGTAGTATAAAAACATAGGTAATCAGAGATTACAGAGCTCACCTCAACGAATTTGTTGTTTTTAAGTAAGGCAAAGTCACACAATTACCCAACAAAAAGTGTACACCCAAAAATGCAAAATTTATGCAATTTTGATTTGATACTTTGGAATAGACCTATATAGAAACTTCAACCTAGTTCTTCATCATGAAAACGTAATTAAAATCCAGCATCTGAAGCAAGTTTGATAGTTTTCATCCCTTGATGCATCATTTGTGCAAGTTTGGTTTATATAAGCCTTATAGTTTCTTGGTAATAGACCTGCACCCATAACTTTTACTAGGTCCATTATCTGGAAAATGTATGTCTAATTCAGCATATGAAGCAAGTCCATTAGTGTGCATCCTAAGATGTATCATCCAGGCAAGTTTGCTCAACATAGAGCTCAAAGTTACTTGGAAATGAATCCTGCACCAAAAACTAACCTGTTCACTCTTCCAGAAAATGTAGGTCAGATTCAGCATCCGAAGCAAGTCTGGTAGTATGCATCCTAAGATGTATCATCCATGCAAGTTTAGTCATTATAGGGCTCATAGTACCTTGGAAATGAAACCTGCACCAAAACCTTTAACCTGTTCACTCAACCGGAAAATGTAGGTCAGATTCAGCATCCGAAGCAAGTCTGGTAGTATACTTCCTAAGATGTACCGTCCATGCAAGTTTGGTCATTATATGGCTCATAGTATCTTTGAAATGACACCTGCACCAAAAACTTTAACCTGTTCACTCATCCAGAAAATGTACGTCAGATTCATCATCCAAAGCAAGTCTGGTAGTATGCATCTTTAGATGTATCATCCGTGCAAGTTTGGTCACTGTAGTGCTCATAGTTACTTGGAAATGAGACCTGCACCGAAAACATAAACCTGTTCATTCATGCGGAAAATGTAGGTCAGATTCAGCATCCGAAGCAAGCCTGGTTGTGTGCATCCTTAGATGTACCATCCATGCAAGTTTGGTCAACATAGGGCTTATAGTTGCTCGGAAATGAGACCTACACCAAAAACTGCACCAAAAATGTTAACCTGCTCCAAAAACATTAACCTTGTCATTCCTTTGCTGAAGTTGCAGCATCTGAAACTTTGACTGGTACAATGAAACACACTAGCATGTCTAATCAATATAGGACATAGAAGTACTTAAAAAGAAAACTGCTCCAAAAACCGTAACCCGGGACGCCGACGCCGACATCGACGCCGAGGGTATTACATAAGCTCCCCTAACTTCGTTGAGGTGACCTAAAAATGGTACTGAAAGAAGTTGGCATTGAAAAAAGTTCCCACGAAATGGGATTTTCGACTTTGAGCAACTTTTCTTTTCTTTTTTGCTTGTCAACATTTTAAGGTAAGTAAAAAAAATTCTCTGGCTGCCCCCTTTAAAAAACGATGCTACGTGGCTGCCTATAGTATAGGACATGAACAACATTCCAAAAATATGATTATGCCACCCGTTAAAAAATCAAGAGTTTTTTTTGATTTGTAAACAAAGATTACGTTTTCTTCAATTTCCTGTATAAACTCGGAACTTCTACAATTCATTTTCACATCGCAAGGAATCTTCAAAAAAAAAAAAAAAATGTAACCAACTTGTGCAAAAATATAAGAGAAGTTCAGGCTCCGGAGCCAAAAAAAGATAACCTCACTTTTTGTCTCAGTCTAACTTTTTTCTACGAATAACTCCTTACATGTAGAAAAATTGAAACTCATTTCTGACATCAAAAATAAGCTTGTCTAAGTTTTGGTTAATGTCCCGAAGCTGACATTAGCAACTGGTACCATTAAACATACTAAACCTTGACTCTGATAGAAGCTGGGCAACAGTGATTGAAGTGTACTTGCCAGCAATACACGGATTAAAGACAGTCAGTTTATTTTATTGTCTGTTTGTAATCTTGTATTTTCAGTTGAAAATGGTGGTCATGATTCAAAAAGAAGCGGTCGTTGTTGAAGCAACCAAGTGAAATTCTGAAAAGGTAGTGTAAGTGGTACCAGTTGCTAATGTCTCTGGTTTTGTCTATGCTATAAATAAACCCTGTGGATTAAAAACTGTTTTGACCCACTCACTTTGACACAGTTTAGAATGTATCTTGTACTTAATCTTAGCTGTGATAAAAGCTGGAAACAACAGTGATCGAAGTGACCTTTATAAGCAGTACAAAGGTTGAAGACAGTCAGATTATTTTATGTTCTGTTTGTTATCTTGTATATTCCGCTGAATATTTCGGGCTTGGCCCAAAAGACATTCTTGATACATTGAAGTCACATTCTGAATTGCAAATCGTACCAGTTATTCATGTCCCTCGATTTGTCTTTGTTTTAAACAAACCCAGTGAATTAAAATATTGTTTTGAGCCACTCACTCAGAAAACTTCAGAAAATGACTTGTAATAAATTTTGGCTCTGATAGAAGCTGGAAACAGCAGTGATTGAAGTAAACTTACCAGCACTACACAGATTGAAAACAGTTATTTTATTTTATTGTCTGTTTATAATCTTGTATTTTAGCTGGAAATGGTTTTCATGGCCTAAAAAAGAAGTGGTCATTGTTGAAACAATCAAGTCACATTCTGAAAGGTAGTATAAGTGATAACAGTTGCTAATGTCCCTGGTTTTGTCTATGCTATAAACAAATCCAGTGGATTGAAAAACTGTTTTGAGCCACAAACTCATAAAACACCAGAATGTGAATTATACTGACTCTTGGCTGTGATAGAAGCCGGGAAACAACAGTGACTGATATGTACTTGTCGTCAGTACGCAGGTTGAAGACAGTCAGATTACCGTATATGTGGAAATTTTAGCGAGACGCAAATTTAGCGATTTCTACCTAAAATTTGGTATTTTATTTTTAGCGAGAAGTAATTTTAGAGATTTTAAAATGCTAACTAAAGAAGCTATTACAAATAACACGCAATTAATTTTTAACGATATTCAATTTTAGCGATGTCAGCACCCTCGCTAATAATGCCAAAATTAAATCCTCGCTAAAATTTCTACTTACAATGTATACGGTATTTTATGTTCTGTTTGTTTGTT